CTCCCCTCTTTCTGAGACAGGGTCTTTTATGGAGTTCAACCTGGTCTTAAATTAACTTTGTAGCCCAGGCTGGTCTTACACTCACAGTGCTCCTCCTATCTCAGCCTTGAGATTATAGGCGTGCATCACCACACCCAGCTAAATGTTTATTTTTTACTACCTTCTTCGATTTGTGTTTATGCTCCCTCTGGAACTAGGCCAAGAGGTGTAAAATCTGGACATCTGGGCACAGGTGCCACTGTCTTTCCACTGCTCTGTCGCTGTCACTGCTCCCACTTCCTGGGCTTCGGGAGCTGTTGCTCGCGGGGTCACAATCCACTGGTCTGTCAGGGTGAGCCCTGCGGTTGAGAAGCTGCTTTCACTTGTTTTTCTGTTCTTATGAGCTGTTTAGCATTTTTAAAATAGTTTCTGTCCAAACACTGTAGTAATTCAGAGCATAAATACAGCCATGGGTGTGTTTTCTTCTTTCTTTCTACATCTTTTACTTTCTACACATATCGTAGCCTGCACAGTGTAGAATCTAGAAATGATAAAGGGAAAGGAAAATAATTACCTGTAAAATTACTTGTAATCCTAGAAGGGAATCCAGTTTTTCTTTCTTTTTTTTTTTTTTAGTTTTTGTTTTTGTTTAGGTTTTTCTTCAGTTGACTGGGCTATTCTTGAACTTGGGATTCTCCTGCTTCACCCTCCAGAGTCACTGGGACTACAGGGTGTGCCATTACACCCAGCCCATTTTTCAGCCTTTTGTGATATAGTCGTCTCTGTGTATGTGTTTCTGGGGATTTTCTGCACAAAATAAAGGAATCTGAGTATACACACTGTTTTGCAATCTTTGTTTTCACATGGCAATAGATACTTAGTATCTCTTCTCTTCTCATTATTACGTATTCTCCAGCAAGGAATAATACTTAAATTTTGTATCAAAGGCACGTGCATCAGAGTTTTTAGAAAAGCATGAAAAGGCCCCTTGTGAAAACCATAACCTGTTATGTTGTTCTCCAGCCTTGGCTAAGGGGGCGAAACTGAAGTCACTTATGGTAGGTGCTGTCTGGCCATTTCTTCCATTGCGCCACCTTTCTTTTTCTTTTCTTTTCTCTTCTTTTTTATTTATTTATTTATTTTTTTTTTTTGTGGAACTGGGGATTGAACTCAGGCCCTTGCGCTTGCCCTGGAAGCGCTTATTCCACTGAGCCATCTCCCTGGCCCCTGCACCGTCTTTCTTCATCTGACTTCCTGACTGGCTGCTGAGAGAAGGCTTCCTGGCCCTGTCCCTGTTCTTCCTGACACACAGTATCCTGCCACAGCATTTGTTTCCTCTGTTGCTTTCCTTGGGATTTAATAATACATACACTGAGGCTAGGAGCATAGCAGCAGAGGTGAGTGTGTGTTTAAAAGGCACCACAGGCATCATTGCTGCTGTTACCAAGTTGCTCTGTGTGTGTGTGTGTG